CAGTTGAAGGATGAGAAATTAAAGGACATAGCTGAGAATGTAGTCATCGGTAAGGCGCATGGCTTCCGTATGGATGACAATGGTACTTTATAGTTTGGTAAGAGATTATGCTTGCCAGAGAGCAAGACTATTAGAGATGCAATCTTGCGTGAAGCTCATGAGTCCGCCTATTCTATACATCCTAGGAGTACTAAGATGTATTTGGATCTTAAAGAGAAGTATTGGTGGTATGGATTAAAGAGAGACGTGGCAGAGTATGTGGCTTTGTCTGACACTTGCCAAAGGGTGAAAGCTGAGCATCAAAGACCTGCAGGATTGCTACAACCGATGAAGATTCCTGAGTGGAAGTGGGATGAGGTTGGTATGGATTTCATAGTTGGTCTGCCCCGCACTCAGAGAGGATATGATTCTATATGGGTAATAGTGGATCGCTTAACTAAGGTTGCTCACTTTTTGCCGGTCAAGACCGTTTATACCAGTGCAAAGTTGGCTGAATTGTATATGGAGAGGATAGTGAGTCTACATGGAGTTCCTAAAAAGATCGTGTCTGGTTGATGTACTCAATTCATGTCCCACTATTGGCAGAAAGTACATGAATCCTTAGGGACAAAGTTGAATTTTAGCACGGCATATCATCCGCAGACCGATGGACAAACTGAAAGGATGAACCAAATATTGGAAGATATGTTGAGAGCTTGTGCATTGCAATATGGTACCAGTTGGGATAAGAGTTTGCCTTACGCTGAATTTTCATACAACAACAATTACCAGAAGAGTCTCAAGATGGCACCTTTTGAAGCATTATATGGACGAAAGTGTAGAACACCATTATTTTCGAACCAGATAGGTGAGAGTCAAGTGTTTGGTCCAGATATGCTTAGAGATGCCGAAGAACAAGTGCAGATGATTAGAGATAATTTAAAAGTGGCACAGTCTCGCCAGAAAAGCTATGCGGATACTAGAAGGGATTTGGTTTTTCAAGTAGGAGATTATGTGTATCTCAAAGTGTCACCGATGAAAGGCATAAAGAGGTTTAGCACGAAAGGTAAATTAGCACCAAGGTATATTGGTCCGTTTAAGGTTCTTGAGAGAAGAGGCGAAGTTGCTTATCAATTGGAACTACCAGAAAGCTTGTCAGGTGTCCATGATGTTTTTCATGTGTCTCAACTCAAGAAGTGCCTGCGTGTGCCTGAGGAGCAATTACCTTTGGAAGAGCTCAGTGTGAAAGAGAACCTCACATATCTGGAGTATCCCATTAAGATATTAGAGACGGCGGAAAAGGTCACTAGAAGCCGGGTCATACGAATGTGCAACTCAGAGGCTGAGCCAACATGGGAGCGAGAGGAGGATTTGAGATCTGAATATCCGCAACTTTTTGAGCCATCGGCAGAATCTCGAGGACGAGATTCATCTTAAGGGGGTAGGTTTGTAACACCATAAAATTTGCATCCTTTTGAAATAGCTTAAATTGATTTAAATATGCAATTGTGTGTGCATTCAAATGTAGCGAAAATAATAATCTTGTCAAATTAAAATCTAACATAAGGCTAGATACATGATGTTGCATACATGCTGCTGCACTTTATTAATTTGTAATGTGTGGTTTTTTGTCTCATCTCTCTGTATTCAAAATTCTATTGAAAGGCTTTGGAAAGTTCAGTTTTCAGAAATTGTCAAGGGAAAATGATTATGCTCCTCTCTGTTCTCTGGCCTGATGGCTTGCTACCAGCGCTGCTGCCGTGGCCCAACCTCCATACAGTGTTGTCCCCTTCCTCTCTCTGTTCTTGAGTTGGACACGGTCAGTATGAAATCCCAAAGCCCTTCTTCATCGCCCGAGCGCCAGGCGCGCCTATTCCCTTGTCTTTGGCTTGCTGCCGTCTCGGTCCTGCGCCTACGTGCTCGAAGGGCTTGACGTGTCGACCACCGTCTCCATCATCTTTCTCGTGATGGAAAGGAAACTGCAGCTTTCCTTTGTTAAGGGCGTACAAATCCTTGTCGATCTCCATCCTCTCCATCTCTGGAACGACCCTGACTATAAAAGCGATGCGCCGCACACCGCCGCCCTTTCCCGACCCCTTCGCAACAGTCGCAGCACCCGGAGCTCTTGCGCCGCCGCCGTGACCTCGCTGCTGCAGCCGCACATCGACCCGCTCTTGCGCTGCTTCGCCGCCGTTCTCGACCCTGTGCCGAGCTTTGTGCCGAGGTGACGAAGCCGTCCTAGCCCATCTTCCTCGCTCGTTTGCTTTCTATCGCTCTCACGCCTTCGCCGAACAAGGAGGAACGCGTTCGTCCGCCCCGTCAAGCTGCACATCGTCTACATCTCATTTCTGTCCGCGAAACAGCCCTAGGTGAGTTCGCGGTCGTCCACTCTATCTCCCAGTATTTTTGCTTTGGCTTACGGCGCTTGGAATCGTCGTATCCATGAGCGCCGGCGAGCTCCTCGCCGCCATCAATGGAGACCACCGTGCCGGAGTAGAGCGTGCAGCCATCTCTCTCTCTTATACTCTTTCATAGACCTTCAACCGTCCAGATCGAGATCGACGCTCCAGATTAGAACATACCCTTTCGACGGCAGTTTTTCTAAAGAGACCCTCAGTTTTCAGATAATCAAACCCGCAGTCCCTGTGCAGTAATGAAAACCGAATTTTATTTCTTTTAATTCGAAAATAAGTTCGCAGTAATTACCGGATTACCATCCGTAGCTTATAATTAACATATCTTCTCGGTTTTAAATCCTATTTCGGTGATTCTCGCGTCTGTGTGTTCGTAGTGACATGTAGAATATTTTTATAGGCTTTTAAACATGTTTTCCCTCTGTTCGTGTACTGTTCTAATCATAGCTCTTGTTTGCTTGTGCATGATTGCATGGATGTATGTGTGTTGCTTTGATGATGATTATCGAGTATAGACGGTGAGTTTTACTACGTTGATCAAGGCCAATACATTGACGATCAGCAGGACCAGCAGGAGTTCGTTGATCAAGGAAAGTATAGCATGGAATCATCCTTAACACCCACTCACTTTTAATCATTTAAATTCATACTGCATGTGTCTACCTTGATTACCACTAAGGATTTCCTAGCTCTGTGTTTATACCTTGTCACCTATGGATTTTTGCATTGGGCAGTGATGCTAGTGTTCAATTAAAGACCATGATCTTGTAACTTGACTAAAGGTATATGCAATAAACACTAAAAGGTGTTTTTTTAGCAACAAGGAACAAGGGGGCTAGAGCATAGTTTTTGTGATGCTATAGATTACTCTCCTTAAGGACTTATCTGTAAGCGAAAATTCTGGATTTACAGTACAACCATGAGTGCTACATGGCTCTGGCTTTAATCAAGTATGAGGACCTTTTCTAGCTTGTTAGGGGTTACCGAAAGGCGTAAAAGGGGCTTGCCACGTTGGGTATAGGACAGCCTCTGTTCTTATGTGTATAGCCGTGAAGGAATTGTGCCATTCGAAAGGGGGTTCCTACATCTGCCTGCCGAGGAATTCTAGCGGTCCTAACTTGTTAGACGAACCTTTAAAAGACTTCATAGTGAACCCTGCCGATCTTCCTTGGTAGTGGGTCAAGAGGCTGATCACCTCGGGCAAAAGGGTAAATCATGGCTCATGGTGAAAGTGTACAAACTCTACAGTGTGTTAAAAACTGTTATAACAGTCGTGCTCACGGACACGAGCGGCCTTGGACCCTTATGGAATAGATGATCATTAATGATAAGTATGTTTATGGTGTTCATTAATCATGTCTACTTGATCATGCGTTTATTTGGGTTATGTTAAACTTGTTGCTACTCAATTGCGTAAAACTGTGATTCATTAAAAGCTAAATGCAGTTAAACCAGTGTCTACCTTTTGAGGCTCATGAACCCCGTGTTATTCTTGTTGAGTACGAGATGTACTTACGCTTGTTTATATTTACTAATTGGATAAAAATCCCGGATTGGTAACAGATGGCAATGGTTATGAGGATTTTCCAGAGAATTTTTAGACTTGTGATCAACCAGTCGACGGTCTCTGTGGTTATGGAGGCGCCATGAAGTTATCTTTAATTATTTCCGTTGCTAGACTTTGATATACTTATGTAATGGATTAAATATTTGTGATGTAATAAAGCACAATGCTTGGTATTCTCCTTTAATTTGTCTCTATATGTGTGTAATTGATTCCTGGGCACACATATGGCTTTGTATCCAATTTTGTCTTTAAATTTGGGTATGACACCACCTCTGTAAATAAAACAATATGTCCTTGCAGTAGTGTTACGTTCTCTACAATTGAAAGAACAACACCATTAAAATTGGAAATAAATCCAGAAGTCAAATTCTAAAATAAATACGTCAAATCGAGGACTTAAACCTAAGTTGACATGTTCCACTACAGGAAACCTTTATCGGTCGTGCTTTTTCGGGCGGTGCCTAGTGCATCGGACTTTGCCCTTTTGGACATCTATACATTTACTTAGACGTTTCCCACCACCACTATTGTAATGATATTCCTTGAGGTTTCAATTTCAACTCTCAAGATAATTATTTGCTGCCAAGTATATTATATTTTCTGGTAGTAACGGTACCAAGAGATATATTTTCAATTGTTACAACAACCACCATGAGATCTCCTTTTTCTACTATAGGCACTTGGTTCTATGGATTTTTTTTTTCTAAATTATGGCTTTTTTAGCTTGCTACGAAACCATAACATGAGTAATTTTGGTTTTCTACATATGGGCTCCCAGGTGAGCAACAGAGTCCGTCTACATCAGCAAGCCTACAGTAAATTTGAACCATAACTTAGATTGGAGTGCCTTGGCAGCCAGGTCGACCGGTAATGGCGCCGACGTCAGTATTAGCTACTAGGTGTAGAATTATTCTACACCTAGCGTGTAGAATAACACTGCCATATACACAAACACTACTACTATGATACTATCCTCTCAAAAAAGAAAAAAAGAGAAAAGACTACTAGGTGTAGGTGGTCACGTCGTGGTATAAACGTACCTTGAGAGATCAATTTGGACAAAGTACTGGTCCACGGCGTCCTCGGCGTCGAAGACGGCGTCGCGGGTCTGCTGCAGCCACACCTTGATGAGCTCGTTGGGCTGCACGCGGCGCGACGGCTGGACGTCGCGCAGGAAGGCCTGCATCCACATGAGCTTGTCTCGGAGGCTCCGGATGTCCTCGTTCACGGCCACCAGCGTCCGCGCCTCCCTGGCCGCCACTTGCTGCAGCTTCCATAGCATCGACCCCACGATGGCCTCCGCCATCTTGGCTTAATTGGCTTGCTTTTCTTTTTCTGGATGATGATTGGGTCGCCTTAGCTTAATTATTTACTCTCCATTGGCAGGCTCATCGTCTCTCGCTCTCTCTCCTTTAATTTGCTCGCTCTGGATTATTCAGAAACCTAGCTTTGTTAGTACCTAATTTCTGAAGGGGTTTGCATGGATATTTATGCACGCACCAGCACGGCACGGCAATAATCTAGCTTTGTCGAGTACGCCCTTCCTATATTCTTTGGCACTTTGATTGAGTAGCTGTGACGGCAGGAATCCGGATTTGTTCTTGCCGTCTTGGAATAAAACCAGCCTGCAATATAGGAGTAATAGTTCACAGTCAGAGAGGATTCCTTTGAGTAATCAGTCTCTCTCAGCATGGAACAAATCCTTTGCGAAGTTTCCAGCTGTTAGAGCATCCATTAGTACTTTCAAAAGTGTTGTTTCCTGTTAGAAAATCCATTACTTTAAAAAGTACGGCAATAATCTAGCTTTGTCGAGTACGCCCTTCCTATATTCTTTGGCACTTTGATTGAGTAGCTGTGACGGCAGGAATCCGGATTTGTTCTTGCTGTCATGGAATAAAACCAGCCTGCAATATAGGAGTAATAGTTCACAGTCAGAGAGGATTCCTTTTGAGTAATCAGTCTCTCTCAGCAAGGAACAAATCCTTTGCGAAGTTTCCAGCTGTTAGAGCATCCATTAGTACTTTCAAAAGTTAGAAAATCCATTACTTTAAAAAGTACATTTATCATTACCGGTTTCAAACTAGCCATCTCACATCCTTTGTGAAGTTTCCAGCTGTTAGAACATCCATTACGTTAAAAAAGTGTTGTTTCCTGTAAGAGCATCCATTACATTAAGAAGTATTTATCATTACCGGTTTCAAACTAGCCATCTCACAGGGAATGGAACCGATGAACTCAAGCATCACCCATGGAGTTTTTACTATCTTAGCTACATAGTAACTTGTGACTAGATAGACGATACTGTTATTCTAAGCTCACATTTATGAATCTTGAATTGTACACTTGAAACTCCAAGCGGTCTCAAATCAAAAAAAAAAAAAAAAGCTACAAAGTTGTAGATATCGTCGAATACTACAACTTTTATGCTGATTTTGTTTCTATCCTGAATAATTTAATAGGTCTCAGATCAGATATTAAATATTAATTTGAATGTCTAAACCATCTAAAAAGTTGTAGATCTTATTGAACTCAACTTTGGTATAAAGCTTGTCTTCATATGACTTCATACTAAAAAGTTTTTTGTTTTTGACAGTGTATTTATTTAAACTTGTAGATCTTAATATTTATTTTATAAAAACTCAGTAAAAGTTAAAAAAAGTTAGACTTAGGGTAAAACTAAGGGGAGTTTTAATTTGGAACGAGGAGCAATACATAGCGGCCTGTTCAAATTACTCCATGAGTTGACAACTAGGCGATGAAGCTCGCTATGTTTTCAAGTGCCTTGTTCAAATGCCTTCCACACTAAATATATATTTACTACTTGTGGCTAGCAAAACTGAATATGGTCGTGATTTTCACTTAGAAAATCCCAGGCTTTAGATGACAGATAGAAGATTCTTAGCCCAACTAAAATTAGATTGTGACGAGAAAACTACTGTAAAGAAGTTGGACTAATCAGCAGGAATCTCAGCTATCTTCTGGCTGGCATCTGACGAGCAAAATATTTTGCCTAAAGTCAATTTGCATCTGCATTACAGACTGGTCGAAGTCAAGGTCCACAAAACTGGCTATACGGTGTGAGGATTCATGATATGAAGAAAGCCCAGCTGAATGTTGCGCATATAAATATATTGAGAATTTTTTGGTCCATAATGCAAAATCTCAGTATATTTATTTGCTGGCTTTCATTTAGAAAATCCTTGGCTTTAGATGAAACAAGGTTCTTAACCCAACTTAAATTAGAGTGCGAAAACAACATTACTGTAAAGAAGTTGCACCAATCAACAGGCCCTAGGAATCTCAACTATCTTCTGCCTTTGCATCTGACAATAAAAATATGGCCTAAAGTAAAATTGCATCTACATTGCGGACTGGATGTAACGTTTAGAACTCAAGCTCCCCAAAACTTGGTATACAGTGGGAGCATTCATGCTATGAAGAAATCTCAGCTGAATGTTGCACATATAAATATATTGAGGTTTTTTGTCAATAAATAAAAATTCTAAATTTATTTGTGCAAGGTAAGGTAAAGTAAAGGAAAGCAATTCATGTAAAAACCGTTTGGGCATAACTCGATACAAGCATCTGAATACATCTTGTTTACATAGATATAGATGCTTTGAAACACAATAGTACATAGTAGCCTCTTCAAATTAGCACAAGAGGTGGCAACTACGCAGTGCAGCTCGCTATGTTTTCAAGTGCCTTGTTCATCTGCCTTCCACAGCAGGTCATCTGCAACACAACTGACACCGCGATGCCCACCCCATAGCCTGAACCAACAAAGAGCCACAGAATGACAGCTTCAAAGCTGTGGTTTGTAGCCGTAGCCAATGCTAGTAACATCTACAACACGAAAAGAACATGACTCTCCCATCTCATCGGGCCATATTCCGTTGAGGTGATTGCCCCTGGGGGGATTTAGCACCGTACCCATAGGAAGTTACTGCAGCCTTTCAGGAGATATGGTGGGACTGGCCCACTCGAGTAGTTACTAGATAGGTCAAGTATTTTTATATTATCATACTGCTGACATTCCGTATATGGGATAGGGCCACTTAGTTCGTTTTTTGCCAGGTTGATTGTGTTAGCGTGCCTGAACTGTTGGACGAAATCAAGGGATGGAATGGAGGAGAGACTGTTGTTGGAGAAATCAAGATACGCCCCTGCGGAAGGGAATGGCACAGAACCCCCGAGTTTATTGTAGCTGAGATCGAGGATAAGTATGAATGTGTAGGCAGGGAGTAGCCCCACATTTGTGAATAGGTTGTGCTGCAGGTGCAAGACACTCATGTTTCTCCAGATCCAGTCTGGTATTGTTGGAGAGATCGAGATAGCTAGTCTAGTTTAGGTAGATATTTTATCACACTGGGTACCCAGCTGGTTAGGCCACAAGATGCAAGTTCTAGTGTATCAATAATACTACTATTAGTGCCATCATCATGATCCTCCGCAGAAACAGATAGCAAGGGGTTATTGGAGGCTCTTATGCTATAAAGGTTCCTTAGCATCAAGTAAGGGTACAGATCCAGCGTACCCATGAAATTGTTTGAGTCGAGCTCTAGTTCAGTGAGAGCCCTGAGCTGCGAGAATGAGGTTGGAATCGCCCCAGAGAGGTTATTGGTAGACAAGAAAATTTCCTTCAGCGGCGTTGAATTCCTCGATATGACCCGATAGATGATGGTTAGCTCTAAGGTCCAAAACCTGCAATGCTGGTTGGGAGAAGATGGATCCTTGTATTGTACCAGTGAATAAATTGTGCCCCAGGTAAACTTCTTGGAGATTAGGGAGCATCTTGACATCGTTTATTAGAGGAACAGGTCCTGTACAAAATAAACATGGTCAGATAATTTATCTTTCCTCACTTATGCAAACTTCAACAAAATCATTCATATATTAAATAGATGTACGATATAAGTCTATTCTTTTTCGATTTCACATATATTGAATTATCATTACACATATTGTTTTCTAGCACTCCTTAAGCTGCTCAGAGTCTGAAATGTCTAAGGTTAATCAAAATGTATAGAAAGTTTCACATTTCCGTTTTTTCATGAGTGCTATGTCATCTGGAGTTGAACTGATGAATGAAACATACCCCTCAACACAATTGTTTCATTTTTGTTCTTTCATATATAGGGGCCATAGGATTTACTTACGATACACGGACTTGGATGTAGCTGATGAAATGAAACCCTCTTGCCTTCAATAGCAGTATCAATACATTTAAAATACATGGAAACTAGCAAGGTGACCCACGGAAATAGCGCGGGGTAGCTAGCTTTTTATCATGGCAACAATTGAGATCGTTTATTTGATTTTTTTTTTTGCAAAATAGCATTTTTTTTAAATATATTATAATTGTCCGCTCTTCATGAGTCTCTACTGCATCTGTTGACCGTCGTCATAAACAACGTCAACCAAAATTCCCTTAGCTTAAAACTATTGTCATCTTCCTATTTTTGCCACCCTTATCTTGTGGTCGTGCAGTTGTTACTTGTGCCAGATCAAGATAGCCTTCACTTTATTTTCCCAAGCTCCCTTTCTCAATAATATCACTATTCAAGTGTCTCACAAATTGTTCAGTTTCTATGTCTTCCTGTAAATTTAAATTTTGGAGCATTTTGAACCTTTTCTTGCATGAATCAATAGTTGCCTAATTCATCATAATTCTACTACACTACGACGATAGATCCAATGCTTATTTGGATTCTCTTTTTTCCAAAGGATTTTAGACTTGCATATATGTTCTTTTTGCCATAATAGATCGGGCCTTTTTCTTTGAAATACTTCTGTTTACTTTTATTTTTGTTGATTTCATTTTTATTAGCCGTATTGAATATAACAAATTTGCATTATTGGTAGAAAAATAAAACAATTTATTTTTTCAATGGTCATGTATATAGTTTTTCCTAATTTCATTTTAATCATTTTTATAGATTTTGAAACGCATACCGTTAATCTCTGGCTCTTATAGGTGTGCTGCATAATGTGCATCTTCTGTAGTTTTTTTTTCTTTCTAAAAGGGACATCATGGGTATAGCGCGTTGCACTGTTTTTTCTTTCCTTGAGATATTTTTCCTAGTTCATTATATTAGTGGATGCTTGAAGCAGCAGTCCATTTAATGTCTTTATTTAATGGGTCACCTTAAGATATTTTTCCTAGTTCAGCTGCATCTCCCATTAATTGAAGTGCCGATGTTCATCTCTGCATGTCTCCATCTCCCTGTCTCAAGAAGTCCTTGTTTAGTTGGTTCCCCAATTTGTTCTTAATCAAATCCTAGTTGAGGACCTGAGGGACATACG